CTAAAAAATTTGTACCAGGGGCTAATCAAAGACTATTAATGGAAGATTGTTATGCCCCAGGGGGATGAGCGTTAAGACTATCATAAATTAACAATGCGGGTTTAAGAGGGAGCCAAAGGCAGATAAATACAAAACACACATGATACATTTGGGCTCACCCTAAATTCTAGTTCCAACTTAAGAATGATTAGTTCTTGCACCACGGCCCTGCTAGATACTCACCCTCAGGAAGGGAACACAGAAGATATGGGTGCTTTAGCGAAATGTGGTGAAGAGATTAGATGATGTCCAGCTATCAGATAAAATAGCATCTGGGGTTTTAAAGGCTTGTCAAACAAGCAGCCATCTAAGTGAGATGTCAACTAAGTCCACATTGGAGAAGCAAACTAACATCCACGATCCAAGTATTATAAATCATATCATCCAAAGTCATGGAGGGAATAGTATCAGAGCCTAAATTGTGACAATTCGATTTGCAGAAGGCTTTGGATGACAGTGGAGCCCCAGATGGATTTGTGGAAACGCCATAGGAAATAAGTCTGGTAATTTCCCTCTATCTAGAATAGATGGGTGGGAGGAAAGTGTTTACTAAGCAGAGTGCACTGGAGAAAATACCTGTAGAAGATCAAAAGGATAAACCTGACTTGAACGGTTGAAACCTGTCCGTTGATTCCCCCCTCTGATGCATACTCAACCTAATCTGGTTTTCAACATTTTCTGTGTTGTTTTCTTTGTTCATATTGGGGGTTATCTCAGATGTGTTATGGCATTGGGGTCGCCCTCTTGACTTTGTGTTATATGTTTTTCTGTTTTTCAGTATATGAAACCCAGGATTGGTGTCCTATAGGGACAGCAAGTAGAAAAAGGGTTTTTTTTGGCATGGGGTTGGGGGTACAGTGGGGGGGGGGCGGTGTGTGTGTGTTGTGGCAAAAAGGAGCTGATGTCAAGAAGCTCGGGAAGGAAAAGAATGTTTTGAAATTGACTGCGGTAGCTATTGTATAATACTGCTTGATGTAATTGAAATATGGAATGATACATTAACTTGCAATAAAAATTTTAAAGCATTTTTTCTTGAAAAAAATCAGCATATAGCTAATTCTTATTAGGTCAAAAACACCCCATATTTCTACATTCTCCAAGCTGCTGTACCCCTCCATCTCTGCAAGTGACCACTCACCTTCCCCTGAGCACACTCCCTTCCCCCTCTTGTGTCCCTGAATGGAATCTCACCAAACTCATGAACCATACTTGCCGGAGCTTGCCGGCAGAGCAATGGGGACTCGATTGAGGGGGTGAGGACTGAGAAAAGACAGACACAAAAAAACTGGGGTCAGGAGGACTACAATTCAAGACTGCAGCCCCGAGTTTATTTTCCAGCAAGCTTTCATACACTGTTAAGTGGGAATGTACTATTGCTCAAAATAGCGCCCCCATCCTTGTTCTTGTTTGTCTGGCAAATGTTTTTCCCAAGGCTAAGCACCTGATGTTTTCAATAACATTAAAGCACAAAAGTTAATCTGACCGTGAGAGAGACAATCTGACCGTGAGAGAGCTGTGTCTGCACGTCCACATTTGAACGAACAGACCTCTGCTTTCAGAGCAGCTCCCAACACATACTTACAGGTAAGTAGTTTCTTCAAGAACAAGGCACGTGTCAGGAACAAGATTAGGACACACATAGGCTAAATCTCCTTTTATCAGTGTAGGTCTCCTCTTAACCTCCTGAGGACAAGCACCTCTAGGCACCCTGAAGACAGGCTCCTGTTGGATCTGCTGTCTGTCATGACCGGCTCTGCCGCTCTCCTTCAGAGCCCTTCAGCATTATGGCCTTTGCTGAATGTTACAGCTTTTTTAGGAGGTTCCTTACCTCTGTCTCTCTCTGCTTCTACTTTCTATTTTCTACCTTTTTCCTTTTGAGGCTTAGTTCCTCCCACCAAGGAGTCACGAACTGAACAGTCCTCTACCAGTAGGTCACAGACTTACTCCTCAATATCATTGGTTGTTGATCTAATGCTACATCCTGAAATGTCTGAACATTGAAGAATTCTTTTTTAGTACAATGACTGAATGTCCTTTTCATCTTGTTACAGCTGAACAAATGCAAAATGTGACTAAGATGGAGAAATCTAACATACAAAAATAGCTGCAAGATCCTACTAATTTTTATTCTAAAAACATGGCATATGTATGTACATGAAATATTTAATGGAATACAAGTTGGCAGAAAAGGGAAAATAATTTTTCAGTAAGAAAAATGTGATGATTCAGGTTTATCATGGGAAGAATAGTTCTGGGTTCAAAATTCTTATTGGCATAGATATAAATTGACTGAATTTTGGATTAAACAATGGCTTCAGCTTCTTCTGATCAAGTTCCTTAAATACCTTATCACAATCTAGTGGAACCAATCCAAAGTGCAAGGGGATAGGGATATTGTGACAGGTTTATCATGTAATCCAATTCTCCTATGAGAATTGGATTTTATAAATCATAGATTCCAATTGCATAGTCATGTGAAATGTCCTATGAAAAGGCTCAGAAGTCCTTACATTTACCAAGTGATTTAGAAATACACTAGTGAGAGATGCAACAACTTCTTTGGAAAGCTCTGTATGGTAAGGTAGAAAATGATTAAAGTAAATTGGGTGGTTCCTAAGTTCCGTTTAGATAATAGCCTGCTGAGTTGATATTACTAAGCCACCCCATGTACAATATTTATGGTTAAAATAATTCACCATGTAGCATGTTAGACCAAACCATGGGAATGTTTGGAAAGAAGACAATATTTATAATACCTCCATATATAAAAAGGTGAGCAGCCTATTTATGCCCCATCCAGTCTGCATGACAAAAGGAAAAAACCCAAAATGGAAATTTAGATCTGGTGAAACTGCCAGAGATTTTTTTTTGCTATACATTTCTCTATGTCTCTCTTCTTTTTCTTTTCTTTTTCTATGTGTGTGTGTGCCTTTTGAGATAGCCAATTAAGAAACTTGTGGTATATTAGTTGAATCATTGTGAACTGGATACGTGAAAAAAGTCAATCAATACTTCTTTAAATGTCTTGTGATGGTTGCTGTGTGTGAGACCATTGTGGCCGCTGTCAATCCATCTCATTGAGGTTTATCCTCGTCTTCACCGACCTACCTACCAAATCTTTTCTAGCAATTGGTCTTTCCTCCAAATAAGCAAGACAACATGCTGTCATCCTCATCTCTAAGGAGCCTCTGGGTGTGTTTATTTTAATGTTTGATTTCTCCATTGTCTAGTATTCCACAGGATGTTAAATCTTCCTTAACAACACGCACTTTCAAATACATGCATTCTTCTTCGACCGTCCATTGCCATTGTTCAGGTTTCACATCCCTACAGGTAATTTGATATCCTGACTGTTACTTTCTTGGGTGTTGCTTGCTGATCCAAGTAGAATAACAACTTCGACAACTTCAACTTCTTTACCATTTCCCATGATGTTGTGTGTGTGTATGACCCAAGAACTACTTCTGAGTTCCTACTGTTTTCAAAAACTACTATGACTTTCCAGTTACAAAAATGACTTCAGCCATAGACCAATTCACATGTTATACAGAATGTTTACAAATATATCCTGTTTTTATTTCATAATTTGTTTTATGCATAAGTGGAAATAATCATAGCTGGCAATTGGTAGCATTCCTATACTAATAACTGAATGTGGTAGAAAGTGCCTAAATAAATTTTCTGTATGAGTCCCGGCCTAATGACAAACACATTTTTTGAAAAGAAAGCAATAATGCAGAAGGAAAGTAGATCCTGGGGAGTGAATATAGATGATTGTAAACTTAATCAGGTGGTGATTCCAGATGTTTCTCATAATCCAGGTTGGTTTTTTTTCTCAAATTGATGAACAAAAACCAGGCAACTGATACAAAGAGTTGATATGATAAATTACTTTTCTCCAAAGCAGATAATATAAGACACAGTTGCTTCCATTTGTTGGAAGAGAGCATTGAACCATCCTTCCATCAGCTCTGCCTATATGTTAATAACTTCCCAATATCATGTATTAAATATTTTATTGTTAAATATTTATGGCTACATTTTTAGTGTGGGCTCTGTTTTCCACACTAAAGTCTTAGAGCGCAATCAGATTGTTCTTGTTGTTACGTGCTGATAAGTAAGTTCTGACTCATAGCGATCCTATGTTTCACAGAAAAGAGCCCTGCCCAGTCTGGTGTCATCCTCACAATGGTTACATGTGAGCTAATTGCTGCAGCCACTGTGGCAATCCATCTCACTGAGGGTCTTCCCCCTTTTAGTCAACTTTCTACTTTACCAAGCATGACGTCCTTCTCCAAGGACTGGTCTCTCCTGATAACATATTGAAAGTACGTCGAAGTATCATCATCCTTCTTTCTAGGGAGCCTTCTGGACGTACTTCCTCGAAGACAGATTTGTTGGTTCTTTTGGCAGTCCATGGGCTTTCAGTATTCTTCAGAACATCATAATTCAAATGTATCAGTTTATCCTTGGTCTTCCTTATTCATTTTCCAACTTTGATATACACAGGAGGGGACTGGAAATACCAGGGGACTTGGATCAGGCCCACTTTAATTCTAAAAGTGAAGTGTTTGCTCATTCACACTTGAAAGAGATATTGGGTAGCAGATTTGCCCAATGAACGGTGTCATTTGATTTTTTGACTGTTGTTTTCATGGGAGCTGATTGTGGTTCCAAGTAAAAATGATTCCTGAAAACTTCAGTCTTTTCTCCATTTATCATAATGTTGTCTATTGGTACAGTTGTGAGGATTTTGGCGACAACACAATCATAGAGGATCAAATTTCTAGAAGGCAATATGGAATAAACAGTTGCTCATGAAAAGTTTTTAAAAAATAAGAGATTGAGCCCTTAAGATCTATCAACAAATAAATGTATCATGATGGAGATCTTGAGGATTTTAAGGTCTATTTACTCATGACCAATTCTCAAAAAGATAATCCTCTATGTAAAGAATATTTCTAGCTGATGAGTTTTTTTAGGGCCTGCTTTATGTCTTTGTTCCTAAGACTGTAGATGAAGGGGTTCAGCATGGGTGTGATCACCGTGTACATCACCGAGGCGACTGCACTTCCCATGGAGTTCTGAGTGGTAGCAGAACTAAAATACACCCCAACAAATGTGCCATAGAACAAGAGCACGACTGAGAGGTGAGACCCGCAAGTGGAACATGCTTTCAACTTGCCCTTTGTGGACGAGATCTTCAAAATGGACAGTATAATCTTGGAATAAGAAAAAAAGATACCAGTGGGTAGAATAACCCCAAATATTCCAATGGCCAGATCGATTACGAGGTCATTGGAGAAGGTGTCAGAGCAAGCAAGGTGCACGACCTGATTCAGTTCGCAGAAAAAATGGGGAATTTCCAACTCTGTGCAAAATGATAGTCGCAAAATCATTAAGTCATGTAATAGAGAATCCAAAGCACTGACTGTCCAGGAGGCCACTAGCAAAAGACCACAGAGCCTTGGGCTCATGATGACCGTGTAGTGCAGTGGGTGACAGATGGCCACAAATCGGTCATAGGCCATCACTGTCAAGAGGAAGTTTTCTAATTGTCCAAAAAACATGAAAAAATACATTTGGCTGAGGCAACCTTCATAGGTTATGCTTTTTCTCTGAGTTTTAATGTTCAGCAGCATCTTTGGGACAGTGGTGGAAGAGAAACAAATATCAACAAATGACAGGTTGGAGAGGAAGAAATACATCGGCGTGTGGAGGTGGAAATCAGTGATAATGGCCATGATAATGAGAAAGTTCCCAAGGAAGGTGATTAAGTACATGGACAGAAACAACCCAAAGAGAAAGGGCTGCATTTCCATCTCTTCTGAAAGCCCCAGGAGAATGAATTCTGTGATATGTGTTTGGTTTCCTGTTTCCATGTTGCTGATAAAGCTGTAGGAAAAGAAATAAGAACAATTAAATTCAGCCGTAAACATTAATCAAGAACTGAACACAGTAGTAGAATTAGTAATTTTAAAATGTTAATTGATTCAATATATTATCTTCACATCTAGTGCCTCATAGCTGAGAATTTCATAGAATCCAAAAATATCCCAACTTCTCTAGGATGCTGAAACTGGCTAGCAATCCTTGCCCATAGTCACATGTTCCCAAGGCAATCTTTTTTCTCTACAATTTCCCCCATGATTTTTAGTTGCATATTCAAACATACTTAAACCAATTATGCCAAACCTTATTAAATGCACTGGGAAACATCAGTGAAATTAATTTTAAAAAGTGTTTGCCTTTAAATATTATTCCAGGATATTTACATGTTGAGTTAGCAAGAGGATATCTATTAAACAGTAAGTAATACTTTGTGTCATCACTTGTCTGTCAATTTTTCATAATGTAGTGGCTTAGTGTTGTGGTGCTGCTAGAAGTTATGTCACTGGTATTTCCGGACCAGTGGGGTCACCCAAAGTGAACAGATTTCAGCGGAGCTTTCAGACTAAGAACAGATAACAGAGAAGGAATCGATTGTACACCTCTGAGGAATTAGCCCCTGAAAACCTTATGGACAGTAGCAGAGCATTGTCAGATACCCAAAGCCTCACAAATGGCAGCAGCACATTGTCCTACAGAGAAGACGAGCCCCTCGGGTTGGAAAGCACTCATCATATGACTGAGGAAGACTTGTCTTCTTGAAGTCGAGTACCATAGATGAGACAAGCCTGAGGGAGTCCCCCTCATCTGCTCGAGGGGTACGACACAAAACGAGAAGGAACAGCTGCAAACATCTATTACTAATCGGAACTTGGAATGTACAAAGTATGAATCTAAGAAAATTGGAAGTTGTTAAAAATGGAATAGAATGCATGAAGATTGATGTCTTAGTAGTTAGTGAGCTGAAATGGACTGGCATTGACTATTTGGAATCAGATAATCTTATGGTTTACTATGCTGGCAATAACAGATTCAAGAAGAAGGTCATCGGACACATCCTCAAAAGGGACAGTTCAGTCTATCTTGAAGTTGAATGCTGTTTGTGATAGGATAATATCTACCAGCAAACATGGAAATCCAATCAATAAAACTATTTTTCAAGTTTATGCACCAAGCATGAAATCTAGTGATGCAGAAATTGAAGAAACCTACAGATATTTTCACAGAGTAGCTAAGGAAACATGGAAGAAATGATGAAGTCAAAGAGCTGACAAGAAAATTTCAAAAGGCAGCTCAGGAAGACAAAGTAAAACATAAAAGAAATGTAGGTCTAGAGTTATAAATAACTACCTAGAATAAATAGAAATAAAGGCCTAGAGTTAGAAAATCAAAAAGGAAGAACACTCGGAGCATATCTTAAACTGAAAGGACTTAAGAAAAACTTCAAGCTTTGTGTTGCAATATTGAAAGATTCTAGCAAAAAATATTGAATGATGCAGAAAGCATTCAAAGAAAATGGAAAGAATACACAGAGTCCTCATACCCCAAAGAACTAGTCAACATTCAACCACTTCAAGAGGTAGCACATGAGCAAAAACCAATAGTACTGAAGGAGGAAGTCCAAGCTGCATTGAACACATTAGCCAAAAACAGACTCCAGGAATTAATGTACTATTAATAAAAATATTTTAACAAGCACGGAGGCACTGAAAGCACTGATTTGTCTATGCCAGAAAATTTAAAAGACAGCTACTTAGCCAAAGTTTAGGAGAGATCCATATTTACACATATTACCCAATCCAAAGGACGGTGACTCAACAGAATGTACAGTTCTAGAACAAAATAATTGATATCACATGCAAGTAAAATTTTCCTGATGATCATTCAACAATGGAAACAGCAGTCAAGAGATCAAATGATACACTGCTTTTGGTAACTCTTCTGTAGAAGACTTCTTTAAAGTGTTGAAAAGCAAGGCGGTTATTTTGAGGATTAAGGTGTGCCTGGCACAAGCCTTAGGTTTTTCAGTCACTTCATATGCATGGAAAAGTTAGACCTTGAATCAGGGGGCTTGAAGAACAATCGGCGCATTTGGATCATGGTGCTGGCGAACAATTTTGAAAGTACCACCGATGGCCAAAGAACACACAAATCTTGGGTTGGAAGAAGTACAGCCAGAGACTTCATCTTACATGCTTTGGACATGTCGTCAGGAGAGACAAGTCCTTGGAGAAGTACCCAATGCTTGGTAAAGTAGAGGGGCAGAGAAAAAGAAGAACACATGCAATGAGATGGATAAACACTGAATGCAACAATGCGCTCAAATATCAGAAGAATTGTAAGGATGGCACTGACTGGTCATTCGGTGTTTCCTTTTGTTGTACATAAGGCTGCACGCAAAACAGACTCCACAGCACCTAATAACAATAAAAATACATAGAAGTCCCTGTGGCACACGGGCTACATATTGAGCTGCTAAATGCAAGATAGGTAAGAGATGAGATTTTCTACTCTCATGAAAAGAGTCTCAGAAACCCACAGGGGCAGTTCTACTGTCCTTTAGGTTCACTATGAGTGGGAATTGACTCAGTAAATTAGATAGTAAATTAGAATTTTTATAATACACAGACTTGCACACACACACACACACACACACACACACACACCAACCAATTAACTAACCATCCAACTATCCAACCATGACTGTGGCATTGTATACCTACCCACGAGGTGTAGTTGATTAAATAACACCAAACAAAACTAAACAAACACACTAAAAGATAAATCATTCAACTTGATTCTCCTGTGAAAATTGGGTTTTATAAATCATATATTTCAATTGGATAGTCATAGTTATAGCGATCTCAAGAAACAGTCAACTTTGTGGCAGGGTATGATTTGGGGATCTTTTATCTTCCCCCTCCAACAGTTTTATTGGTATTTAATTCACATATCATACAATTCAATGGTGCAATCACATCAAGAAGAGTTGCACAGTCATCGCCATAGTTTCAGAACGTTTCTTTATTCTTGTACTCATTGTTTTCAGCTACCCACTTCATCCCAGTTCTCTCCCCTGCCATACTCCCAAGGTATTATTAATCCACTGATTGTCTCTGTAGATTTACCATTCCTGGACTCATATACAGAAAAACATTAAAAAAACAAACAAAAAGCTAGCAAAGTCAAACAGAGAATACCTCAATTGAAAAGAAATAATAAAATATTAAAACCTAGAAGAAATTATAATGGACCATAGGGAAATCAAATGATAGAGTGCTAAATTTAACCTCACTGCATCCGCAACAATTCACTTTCCAATGCAGTCTGCATGTTAGCAAGACTATTCATATCCCTGGCCCATGGTCACATGGGACTCTCCAGGGGCTTAATCCACATGTATTTCCCCTTCATTAAAAAAACAAAATAAAACCCGAAACAGCTTTAAAATGGGTCAAAGAGGAGATCAAATGGTAAGATATTACATTGTTTCCTGACGACACCTGCCATAATTGACATTACAATGCCCTCTGTCTGATAACAGGGTATTCACATTCCTCAAATATGATCTGGGGGGAGGGGGCGACAGGGAATTCACCAAAGGTTTAATCCACATGTGGACCATACAAATGGATTTTGGGCTTCCACTATTATCCATAATCTTCACAATAATCCAAACCAACACATCAAAAGACAAAGAAGGATGTTCCAGGGCAAAATCACTAATACACTCATGAAAAAACCTCTTGGCAAATGGTAATAGGAGTATACTGAATTTGATTTTTTAAATATACAAAAAATACTAAGTTTTTTCATCACAATGATGATAAACTAAATGCTTTACTTCAAAGATTAGTCCATATCAAGCCCCTTTCTTACCAGTTCTAATCAAAACCATACTTGTCATAGGTAGTGAAATAAAACAAACAAACAAACAAACAAAAAGAAATAAAAACAAAGATGAGGAAGAAAAGCAAAAATGTTTGTTCAGAGATTGAATGATTATGTAGAAACACCAAAATAATTTTTGAAAGTACTGGCATGCAGGGGAAAAGCTACTATATACAAACTCTCTAGGGGTAAGGTCCAGGTAGTATGGCAGTTGCCAGACCAAATCCAGGGGTACATAGGGTAGCCAACCCCAAAGGGGGGAGGGGAAGGAACAGGGAAAGGGGGAAAAAAAAGGGATATGTGAAGGGGGAATAGGGTACTGACCACCCAAGGGAAGGGGAAGGGTATTGTTTATGTCTCCACAGGGAAAGAGGGACCAGATTTAAAGCCAGTGCCAGACGAATGCAGCTTGTTGGCAAGGAGTGGGGAGCCAGTGGAGGGGCCTGAGGGCTCAGCCCCCATGCCAGCTATGTGGACAACA